CCATCTCCACATGTCCTAACTCTGGTTGGTGAACTTCTCCCTTCTCTTACCTCTATTCGGAAACTTCCTCTGTAACTCCCATGACTTCCTCACCACTTGATCTTCCTTCTTATGATCTTGACCTATAGAATATGACATAGGACTATCTCACCCCTACCTGCCCCCTCACGCTTAGAAGGTGTGCTGCCCTTCCCTCCCTCCCCCTGTAAATAGCTCCAATTCTCTCCAAAACAGCTAAAACGATACGAGAAAGGCAGGTTTTGGGGGGAAAAGGAAAAATTGACAGGATTCCCTCACTTCTTCTGCCCTTGATATTCTTGCCGATGTCATTAGAAATGAAATCACTCTAAGAGAATAAACGAAAGGGAAAAGAGAGAGAGAGAGAGAGAGAGAGAGAGAGAGAGCGTGTGAAGGTAGAGAAAATGAGTGTGCGTAAAGATGTGTGTGTTGGTGATGATGGATTTGCTGGTAGCAATAGCAACTCTTCCTATGCTCAAATTACCAGAGCTAAGTCACAGGCTAGTGCTCATCGTAAACCAGAGTTGATTCTAAGGTTTTGATGGATGCATGGATGAAATTGTGATCTTAAATGTTGTAGATGCGATATGTTATACAAGAAGGGACGTGCTACGATCTACGTTATTGGGATCTTTCTCTCAGGCATTATAAGATCTTAGACGTTTAGATCGATGGGCTTGGAAGGTTTGGAATATTTCGGAGAAGCCTACATGTAAGCTTTTCTTGAATCATTTGTGTTTTTCCTGTTGTTTGATAAAAATAATATATAAATTATTATTAGAAAAAGACATTGAATATTTAGATGAAATCTTTTAACAACTCAAGATTGGTCAGCATCGTTAAATTATTAAAAAATTGTTCCTAAAATATGCTCGAGTAGAATAGATAGCCTACCAATTCATATTTGGAACTTTGAGATCTTTAAGCAAATTACAGAGATTTGTAGTAAATTTGTAGAAGTGGATTGGAAATCGGTGATTGGTGATAATATGGGGTCCTACGATTAAAGATAGGACAAATTCATGAGAGAATCATTCTTGTAAAGATCATTTTGAGAGCCAAAAAGTGCTAGGTTTACGCTAAAAATTAGGATTGAAGATTCTTTGGATTATGGGACTAATCAGAGTATGGAAAATGCATATTTGGCTAAAGCCCCGATACATAATATTGGTAAAGAACGACAAGAAATTGATAGGAACCAATAAGACCATTTATATTTGGTACGTGGAGCTCACAATTACCAGTGACCATTGGATGTGAAATTAGGCAGCTAGATTTGTTCCACTGACCATGCTCAATGCTCAAAAGTACTTTTTCGAACTTTGTGACGCACCCAAGCTATTAGATTTTATGTGTGACAACTGTAGGACATTTCTATACCAAAAGTACATAATTTTATAGTATACAATTCCTTTTTTTAAATAACAATCTTGTAGGGGACTTTTCCATAATTTTACTAGATTTTTTTATGAATTTCATATGGAGATTTTATGTGCACGAATCCATCAGATGTTTCCCGTATTCTAATCTTCGAATAGGTATTTCATTTATATTGTTCAAATATTGCAGTCAAAGAGAAACTTATCAAGGACTCATGAGATAAACAATTATTCAACTCACCAAATGTTTTATTTAATTTCGAAATCCCATTAAAAAAGACCTAATCATGAGCAAGAATACTTGATATTTCAGGAATGATCCAATTTTTAAATTTCTTAAACATCATAGACTATGGGTTTAAAGGGCAATGGACCTGCACCTTTTCGAAAACCACATGCTTATTTCCTCTTTGCTTTCTGGAATCATGTCCTTTCCATTCAAAAGGACAACGTAGTTCAGCCCGAGACCCCTTTCTTTGGATACTTCAATGGCATGCCAATCAAGCCCAAATCCGATTCTTCATCTTTCAAACTAGCGCTGGCAATGAGCTAGGTAGGACCAGCCATGACCGGGCCCAGCACAGTTCCCTATTCAGGATGGGAGGAGGCCAAGATAGCCTCAAGCTGATTTGTGGATTGAGATGTCGAATTTCGTGCACCAATGTTAGGCATATTGAAGGTGGAGTCGAACCTATACCGATAGTTGGTTCTGCTATGCTTTTGTTTCCCACAAAGTTGACTTGAGGGAAGAAGGTTGGTTGACTCTTGCCTGATTTGCAGACTAATTTCTGTACAGTGGCATAGAAAAAAGGCCATGATCAACATTCACATTGTAACCCGAATTACTGAAGTTGTTTCTTCCTCTTCTGCATCCACAGTCAAACCAACCTCAACCATGTCTGTCTAAAGGAGTTGGAGACAATTAAGACATCATGTCCTTGTTTGGTTCCTGGTTCACATGCATTTAGTGTGACAAACATGGATTCAAGTTGTAGAAGCTGAGGGTGCAACTCAGTAAAGGTTGTGGTTCCTGGTTCACATGCATTCAGTATGACAACATGGATTCAAGTTGTAGAAGCCTGTATCAATATCAAAGTCACAAAGGTCCTCTATTTGTGATTCAAATCAAAGTGCATACATCACTTTGCCACGGTCGAAAATTTGATTTTCAATTGCTGCTACTTGATCACACGAAGCCTTAAGCTTCTTCAGAGAATTGGTAATGAATGAGATATCTCACTTGACTTATACCTGGAGTTCATGTGCATTAAATGCTTGTGAGTGTGAAGACTGAAGAGTGTCCCTCAAGTCATTTGTCGCACCATTGTCAGGAACTTGGAATAAAATTTATTAGCAGTGGTGGTGATCCAAAAAGCTAGGGTTTAGTCCAAAGCATTTCTTCATCATCTGGTCCTTCTGTAATGAATGTGGGCTTGTGGATTGAGATAAGTTTTCTATTCCCTTCATTATTTGGTCCTTCATTTTGACCGCAGTTTTGGATCAGTAAATGATCCGTGAAAATATTGACTATGAACGAGGCTGCCTATGGGCCGGTTTGGGCCGGCCCAGCTTGGGGTTCAATCGTAGCTCGAAATAGTGGAGGTTAGGCCCAAGCCTGGCATGTGGCTCAACAAATTGGGACCAGCCAAAAAGCTAGCCACCTACCAGGGCCCATTATCAACTTTAACTAGGAAAGCTTTCTATATTCGCCCTACAACATAGAAGTTCTATCCTCCCCCTACCATCTAACCGTCCATTTCTTATCAAGAGAGTCACTCACTATTTGATCTTAGATCCGATCACTCAAAGTATTTTATTTTTAGTTTTTTTAAGACTATTTTTCTGAATATGAAATTTGGTATGTGCCATCTTCTCATTGGGCACACCTATAAAAGATATTAAAAATAATTTTTTATAAAAAATAATGATCAAAATACCCCTTAAAACTTTTTGGGGTATTTTGGTCATTTTATTTTATTGAAAATATTTTGTTTTTATATTTTTCTTTAGTGAAAATTTAATAGAGGCATGGACATCCAAAATTTGGTGTCAAAATAGTTTATAGAAAAAAAATTAAAAATAAAATAATGTAGAACCATAACATTGTGATTGAGGCAATCTTAACCTTGAAAGGTTGGATAAAAAGGAAGATAAAACTTCTATGTTGTAGGGGAACATAAAAGACTTTCCTTAGACACTTTACATAAGAAAGTTTTTGGAGTCAATTTGATGGAACATGACGTGATTCAAGGTTTAATGATATTAACATCTATTGTTACCCTTAATATTTAAAGCTCCAAAAATTGGCGCAAATTGACACTTTACAAAAGAAAGTTTATGGAGTCAAGTTGATGGAACATGATGAGATTCAAGGTTTAATGATATTAATATCTATTGTTACCCTTAATCATGATATTTAAAGCTCCAAAAATTGGCACAAATTGAGAAGAAATATAAACAACTAAAAATCTTTAAAATAGATGGTCCAAATGATGTCTTACAAGATGCACTATTTTTCATAGTTGAAGTCTTTTTTTACCATATCCAACACCTCAGGTGGAGATGATCAATTGGTGAGTTTTTAGCATTGGAACAATCTTTTCGAATGGGTCTTTGAAGTAAGCCTCACTTCTATAGTATAAGGTTGATACCTTATATAAATGTTTTCCTTCAAGAAATGTTCCATTTTATTATGAGAAATTTTAATGCAGCCTTTCAAAGGAAATGTTCAATTTGCTAAAAGAGTATTTTTGGCAGCTCGTTTTTTCAAATAAATATCCAATGCATGAAAATTTAATGTTTCATACAAATTTTTAGCACAATATTACTTTTCATAGATCCAATACACTGCAGTAATTGTTTGAAATAAGCCGATATATTTACTACGAGCTTGTCAATCATCCACTACTGAAATCAGATAATGAAGCAACTGTTATTAGTACTATTTTGAAATCAATTGGACAGATTGAACACTTATCCAATTTCCAATATTCAAATTATGGGAAAAATGTAAAAATAATGATAATCATGGCATATATCTGAAGTCATATGAAGATCAAGGCTTCCAAACAGTGTTAAAAAGGTAGTCCCCATCATGCCTAGGTAGCGCATAGGGGGGAACAGGAGCTTAAGCACCCCATCAGCACCAATGCAATGATCCTAGGCAGCCTGCCCCAAGGTGGGTGCCTAGGCAGGTGCATCGCCCAGCAGTTGGCCCTCCTAAGCACCTGAGATGCCTAGGCCAGTGCATCTTGCCTCAGCTAAGGCATGTGCCTCAATACGATATGATATGTGCACACGAGCTTGTGTGCACGTTAGTATGCGTGTGTGTGAGCGCCTATGCTATTATGCGTGCTTGTGTGTGTGAGAGGGGTGGCACTTTGGAATTGAGGCACCTTAAGTACGTGGCAAGAGCCTCCTGGCCTCCAAGGTGGTGCTTTGTGCTTTTTTCAACATTCCCACCAACCATGAATTCATATATCCAAGCTCACCAGCTCAAAACTAAATGTCAGATACACAAAAGATGATGCACCAGTGACGTTATAAAACGAAATACTAACCCAAAAGAGAGATCATGCTCAAACTATACACTGAGGAGACATAAAAAATCTAACCAGATTTCTAGTTACTTCATTGGAAGTCTTTGCAAACTGCTCCACACTATTTAAACTAGATATGATAATATAAACTGATTCAATCTTCTAGATTCGAGAGTAAGTCAACAACTAAACCGATCATCTTTTTGAGCTGTGAACTTGCATGCACATGCAAAAACATCAGTCCCTTTCACTCCTCCAAAGTTCTTTGTCACCACCATTTCATGTTGATTGGTAATGCAACAAGTGTGCATTTAAGTAGATAAACGACAAAATTCCAAGTACACTGGGAGAAACTGTTATATCTATGACTCATACTCCAATGAAGGTAGACAGCGCTCTAATCTGAAGAGATGGGTAGAAAATTCAAACATTGAAAGCAAAATGGGAATCCAATACTTGTCACAATCTTCTCAATAAAACTGAATTCGAGGTAAAGTAGATGCGAAAATCTTGACCAAATCAAACTGGCACATTTTACCCATGTCATGATGTACATGTGGAACCCGCACATTTTCGAATCAGGATATAATCATCCCAAAATGACACATAACCAATAAGCAATTCGACATGACCGTCAGCTCTCTCCAACCGCTTCAATCCCCTAAGAGCAAGTTCTTGTGTATCCTTCCATAGTCCCTTATTAAAATTAACTGTGATCTTTTTGAGTACTCGTGCATTCTTAAGCAAAAAGTTCATAAATCCCATCCCATCCTCCTCTCCACTGAAGTCATTTATCACCACTCTCTCAAGATGGTGGATAATACAGTCGGTAGGCTCCACATTTTCCCAAAGCCCTGAAGAATATTTTTTCCCATGAGGTTCATCACACTGGAAAAAGGCCATAGAATAGAACAATATCAAGGATACATATAAAGAACCACCAACACTTCATAGAAAAAGGAACTCTATAATGAGTTTGCATTAAAGAATACGAACCCAAATAACAAGTTCTTTTAATGATGGACAGCTTTTAAGAAAGCAAGTGAATTCTGTAACCTCCAATGGTTGTGTCATGTCCACCTTTATCGACAGTTTCCTCAAATTCCCAAAAACAGGGAAATTTGATCTACCGATACACAACTGCTACAACCAAACAAATGTTGATAATAGATATCAAATAACCAAATTTACATGTAGGTATCAACAACATAAATAAAAATATAAGCGCCTTATACATTTCTAGAAGGTAATAATTTATTGAGTGTCGTATTCATTTTTAAAAGGAATGATCTGAAAATTCTAGGCAACATAACAATTATTTGAAAGCCTTATGCTACATCCCCTTGCCCAACTCCCCATTTCGAGAAAATGCTTTACACACAACATCAAGAAGCATCAGCCATGAAATTGTGTACTTGTCAGAAAAGTAACATGCTTTGTCAAATATACTACAGAAACTAAGAAACTCGTGGCAGACCAAAAAAATCCATAATTACCTGATGATGCACAAGCATGTGTTTGTGGGTGGCGGAGGAAGAAAGAGAGAGAGAGAGAGAGAGAGAGAGAGAGAGAGAGAGAGAGAGAGAGAGAGAGAGAGAGAGAGAGAGAGAGAGAGAGAGAGAGAGAGAGAGAGAGTAGAGTAGAGTACGTAGAGTACGTAACGTAGAGTACGACGTAACGTAACGTAACTAACGTAACGTAACGTAACGTAACGTAAA